TACTCGGGAATTCTACTTTAACGTATTCGATACTGAAAGATTCGATTTGATCTATGATCCAACCAGATCCTTCCTGATCTTGCAACTCTGTCTCGTATCTTTCTAATATCGTTCCCACCCATCGATCAAATACTTCAGAGATTTCCTCTTCACTTACTAACTCAAACGCTAAATTTATCACAAATTGACCATTTTGATCATCACCCGATATGTTTTGACGTAATGTGCTTATAACTATAATCGGGTGGATTCTGAGCGACATTGCTAGAGGTGATCTATCATACATATCTCGCATCTGATCTGTAAAATAATCCCTATAAGCATGTAAATACATTCTTAACTCCCTGTTGTAAGTTGAAGGAACACTATATTTCCTCACTGTATGTCTACCTCTAAAATTCTGGATGTATGTAATAATTTCTGGTCTCTCATCTTCACCTCCACTATTGTGTGCGACATTACTGTCAGACACGTCATGGGAGGTAGTTGCTCTCTCATCATCTTCATTAATGGGGATAGAAGTATCCACACCTCCTGCCGCACCTCCGCGTTGTGAGGTACCAACACTAGCAGATCTACCTGCACTCTCATCTTCATTCCCCGGCACACCTCCATGCTGTGCGACATTACTCTCAGTTTGATTCACAACAGTACCAGGTGTATTTCCTGCAGAGGAAAAAAGTATATCCAATTCATAACCCAAAATATTTTTATATATTAAGATTTCAATGAATATAACAAAATCTTTCACCCTTCTCAGTTTTTACATAATACGAATTAAGATTTTAATGAATGGAACAAAAAAAATTCTTTCTCGAGTGACTAACTCATTTTTACGATAAATATTTTTCACAACAAAAGTAAAAAGATCACAATTGGATACATACCTGTTTCTACAGCCTTCTTCCATAATACATCTATGCGTTCCCACTCATTCTTTAATTCTAACAACCTCTCATTGCGATGTACACCACCTTTCTTGATTTCCAACGATCGTCGCCTTCTAATCGACAATCTCCTCTTCACTAATGCTTCCAAGTAATTCGCGTATATTATTTTCTTATCCTCTGTTAAGAATTTCACTTATTAACTCACTAACCCAGTAAAAATTTCACTCGTATGCTCCAACAACAAAAATTATCCCAAAACATTTTTTCCTCGTTATATCATTAAACATGTTAAATAATATCTGTTTCACCACATATCAAGATTTTCTAAGTACAACTTACCTTTCTCCATGATGTGTGGTTCAGCGTTGGAAGATGAGGTCAGCCGGGCTTGACGGATGGAAACACAATCCTCGCTCTGAGAGACTCCTTGACCTTATATGGGTCACCCCAAAGTATTGCGTCATGATTTTTGTACACCCCTTCCCCCCTCCGACGACGCCATGAAATGCGGTTCACATCCAAGGTAGAAAATCACAGTCATCTCCTAACCGAACACCTGCGTCAACTCAGGTCAGACAGACGCCATGAAATGCGGTTCACATCCAAGGTAGAAAATCACAGTCATCTCCTAACCGAACACCTGCGTCAACTCAGGTCAGACAGACGCCATGAAATGCGGTTCACATCCAAGGTAGAAAATCACACGGCCATTACGTATCTCCTTACCGAACATCCGTGTCAATCGGTACCCTAAAGTAACTAATTTTGGTGAGGTAGTCCCGCTCCGCAACAGGAGGTTACTCCTCATTAACTTAGCTGTTATATATCTTGAAAACCCATTAACACTTACACTGTACAAGTCACCTCTGTATGGTAAACTTAATCTCTTTCGACAGTACAATGAACTTGACAACATACACATCGGCTGATGTTGATATATTTCGTTATCCATCAAGGATTATCATTGCCGGTTATTCGAATAGTGGCAAATCTTATTTCACATCAAAATTATTAAAGTTATACCATGAGAAATTTCATAACATTATAATATGCGGGGTGACATCACACGTCTTAGAACAAGATTCAGAGATATCTCATAAATTAACATTAAGTAAAGATATTATCGACCCACAGAATGTCATTGCATCATCCGATGAAAATACAATAATTATTGTTGATGATCTATTTTTAAAAGCTGGTAACAGTGAAATTATTCTCGAATGTTTTACTAAAGGTAGACATCATAATATAAGCATTATTCTGATTACTCAAAATATATTTCACGGAGGACGATATAGTCGTACCATGGCTTTAAACCCCACGCATTTTGCTTTATTTAAAATGAGGGATCTTGGACAAGTAGAGATTCTGGGGCGACAAGTTTTCGGAAAAAATAAGGAATTTGTAAATATATATAAATCTGCTATAAATCGATCACCCTTTGGTTATTTATTCATAGACCTTGCATTAAATACACCAGAAGCATTACAGTTGCGAACCAATGTGTTACGGCAGGATTCCTACGAAATTGTATACCAATGGAGCGAACAAAATTAATTGAAAAGGTTTATAGAGATCCTGGATCTGCTGGGTCATTCTCTGGTGTAAACAGTTTATATACAGCTGTAAAAAAGATTGATCCGTCCATAACCTTGAAAGAGGTCAGAAATTTCTTAAATTCAGAAAGATCATATACTTTATATGTTCTTAAACCTAAGAAGTTTCCTCGTAGGAAAATAATTGCTCCCAAACCCAGAGTGATATTAACCTGTGATTTGGGTGATATGTCTAAATTATCCAGATATAATGATGGATATAAATACATTCTCGTGTGTATCGATGTTTTTTCAAGATATTTACAAGCAGTACTCATGAAAAAGAAAGACGGACCGAGCACTTTACATGCATTACATAACATATTGGAGAATGAAAAAGTGAAGAATATATCGAGATTATTTACAGATAAAGGCAGGGAGTTTCTAAATAAACAGGTACAGAATTATCTCCAGAGTAAGCATATAAAGTTATATCATGTATTTTCGAATGAAACAAAAGCTTCCATTGCAGAGAGAGTCTTGCAAACGATGAAACGTAAATTATACAAGTATATGACAAGTGCCAATACATTTAATTATTCAAAAGTGTTAAATGAATTAGTAGATGCGTATAATTCAACTCCACACTCGGGGATTGGTGGTAAAACCCCATTGCAAGTCCATGGTATTACGACATTGAATGATATAAGGAATCAGTTTCGGATAAATTATAAAAATGGGAGATCCAATAAGAAACGAATCAGTAAGAAATTGGCTGTTGGAGACACAACAAGAGTGACTCTTAGCAGATCATCCGCGTTTAACCGAGGGTTTCACACACAAAATACAGAGGAAATATTTAAAATATATAGAATTAATAATTCTCAACCTATAACAACATATCATTTGAAAGATTTGAAAGGTGAAAAGATTAAAGGAACATTTTATCGCGAAGAATTGACCCCAGCCATATCACCTCCAGAATATATTATCGACAGAGTAATGAAACGAAAAAAAATTGGTGGAATTACGCATTATTTGGTATCTTATAAAGGTTATGATTCCACTTTTAATTCGTGGGTCAAAGAAGGAGATTTGTTGAAGGTACAATGAAAAAATCATTATTAGAAAAATTTAAAGAATTAATTACATTACTTAATAGTGTCCCACGCAATCATCGGAAGAGTTTATTACAACAGTTTAAGAAAACACACATAAGTTGTATCAGTGAGATTTTCAAGAATTTGATCAAGAATAAAATACCATTAGACCCTAAAATATTTAAAAAGTACAAGAACGAGATTAGATCATTAGCTTGTAAGAAAATTGGTTTTCAGCGTAAAAAGAAATATTTGCTATTATTATTTCAAGATTGTTTAATAAATCATGAAAGAATTTTATCTTGTACCAACTTCACTTATGAAACCCAAACCTCTCGAGTTAGTAAAATCGGGGGGTGACGAGAATTTAGAAGGAGGAGGTGGATGCTTGAAGCGTGGTGTTAAACGCAAGATTAAGCTCAGTCCCGTCAGGGAAGTCAACCCACCTGCTCTCACCTCGGTGAAACCTCAGAAAACCCCAGATTTGTCAAGATTCATGCACATAAGGGTGAGTGCGAGAAATATAGAATATGTGAAATCAATCTTGGTATTATTGCAAAGAAATCTTTTGGTGAGTTGGGATGAGAATGGTGACCTTCTTACCCCCATTACTGGACGTAATATTATTGAAATATTAAATGTTTTATCAGAAAACAATGTGAAATCAGCGAGAAGAATCGATTCTGATTACTTAACAGAAATAAAGCATTTATTAAATATAACAGGTATACATTTTGATTTTGTGAGGAATACAAAAGTGAGAAGACAATTATTACATAAAGGAGGCGGTGTAAGACGAGAGGAATCATCGTGGATAACATATTAGGTGAGTATATAAACTCTGTGATGATATGTTTTTACTCAGTGTGTTATAAGAGTGTGGAGATGGCTGGACGTCTTCTATACGTCTGTAGTGATTCCAGTGTTGCTTTATTTCCCGCCAATACACCTTCAGCTTTCATTAATAAATTATATTATTCCATTATATTAGATAATAAAATTGATTATGAGGTTGCTCTGAAAAAAATATAATTTATCCCAAGACACATTATATACCGCAAAAGAATTTGAAGATATGTATTAAATATGAGAAATCTACATTAAATAAATATATCCATAAAATTGATATGAGCAAAATTATTGGAGGTGATATGGCAAGGATTTTAGAGGCAATAAATGAGGATATTAATGTAAATCTGATAATAGCAGTTAAACATATAACGGGTATTATCATCCCCAAAAACTCAATTGTGTTCACATATCATCCAGGAATAAACAGAGTAGTTATTAACTTGAAAAAAAAAACTTATACTGCCTTCTGATATTACTAGCGGTTATGTGGGGTTGGAATTTGACAAAGAAGGAAGCGATATGTTAGAGTTCTCAGGTAATGAAATTTTGTATGTCTTTACCAATAAAAAAGAGATTATTTTTAACGAGTCTGGTGTGAAGGCGGTAAACCCACCCGGTCCTGAATCAGGTATTAATTATATGTTAATATATAGTGATTTGATTGATCCCATTAATTTTGGCGATCAGTTGGTATCTCTTTTGGGAGTAGTTGATATTAATACATTAAGATCTAATTATGATCCCACAATGTACAAACCACTTAATAAAAAGATAATTGATCAAGTGAGTATTAAGCTCGCTGATCAGAAAGGAAGGTTAATTCAATATAATGACAAGTGTTCTACTGTATGTGTACTACATTTAAGACCTATAAAACGAGAGTGAATGAACAAGTTAAGTTAATATTGAACGAACCTCAAGTGAGAAGGGGTTTTCTCCCCCTCCTTCAGGGGAAATCAGTCCGAAACTTTTTGATACTTCGAGGGTGAAAGGAGGGGGGTTTTTAGATATCATTTTAATAAAGCTGGGGGAGGGGCGGGGGAAATTGCCCTTTCCCTCGGGGGGGATGGCCAAAAAGTTTTTACCTTTCTTATTGAATCCCTTTTTGCCCCCGGGAGTATTAAAAATAGGGGAAAAAATGGGGTTGAACAAAGTTAAAATGGTTTTTGCTTTGGAAAAATTCTGCGAGAAATAGGGGTTTGTAAAACCCATTGAAGGGCCCGGACAGAAGTTATTAACCGGAGGAAAGTAGAAAGTTTGGTTTTTGAAAGGGATTGAAATTTAATAATAAAAGAAGGGAATTTTTAAATTTTAATTTTTTATTTTAATTTTTTAACCCTGTCATTTTTTAGTATGTCGGCGGTGTTTCTATACTTTTAAAACCAGGGGGGCTAAAACGCCCCCGCCCCCCACTTATTCCCCCATTCCATAATGAGGGTTTTCCCCCAAAATTTACCAGGCCACGCCGTTAATGAATCCTCAATACACTAGACGACATGTGAAGTTTACCAGTAAATCAGGGTTTTGATAAATTTCCCCCGAATTTAGAATACAAAGTTCAAAAGGGTTCATTTTTTAGTTTTAACCGATTCGGGCCCTTTGGGAAATGAACAAAATATATCAAATGAGGAGGGGAAAGTGAAATTGGGAGATGGAGATAAGGCCAATTTGTAAAACTCTTTTAAGTCAACAATTTTCCCAAATTTCTGGGGTTTTTGGGTTTTCCCCTTTGAAAAACTTTTTAGAATCGAATCCTTTTTAAATTCATTTCGGGTTAAAATTAAAAACTGTTTAAAGCTTTTAAATCCCCATAAAAATTAGATCCCTTTGGGAAGATTAGAAATTCTTTCGTAAAAAAGGGGCCCAGCAAGTAGTACTTTTACACCCAGGTGATTTCGATGATTTTAAAAGAAAAGACGAATGAAAATTAACGAATGAAGTGAAAAAAAACTTTTTTCCCTTTGATGCGGATGTGAG